GAGGATCGATAGCGTAACCACCGCCGTGGGTGGAAGCGGGCAGAATCCCATCGTCCGCCTTTCCGGTGGGCGGGAGACGCCGGGTGTGCTGCCATACGGTCTGATACGGTATGGAGCAGTATTTGAGCAGCTATGTCAGGGGGTTTACGCCGATACCGGTTATCGTGTGTAAGGCACGTGACATCACAAACCAAGCAAACAGCACAAGCTCATTTCCTTTCTCGCATCGGAATTTTCACACTTTTAATCCTGGAAGTGTCCTGTCTCGTACAAGACCTTCTTCACAATCCATCCTCATCCCCCCCCTTCCCCCCTCTTCTTGCGAGGACACTCGTTCTCGAGAGTCCTCCCTTCTCAATTGCCTTCTCGGCAGCAATGGGACTGCTTTCACTGTAGTGCTTCCCTGCCTGCAATTGTGACCTGACGTAAACAACACACCCCTCCCCTCTTTCACTCCTTCCGGTGCAAAGCTCTGTGAGAGCTCAGTCTGCCCATCATGGCTACCACTTCGCACATGTTCATGTACTCCCTGACGATTCAGCCTCCCACTGCTGTGACTCAAGCTATTTTGGGCCAGTTCGCCGGAACCAAGGAGCAGCAAATCGTCACGGCGTCCGGCTCAAAGCTGACGATTCACCGCCCCGATCCTACCCAGGGCAAGGTCACTCCGCTCTTTTCACAGGATGTCTTCGGCATCATTCGCTCTCTGGCAGCGTTCAGGCTAGCTGGTAGCAATAAAGGTATGCTTGATTACTCTCTGCCCCTGCCTGGTCCAAGATCATCATAGTGATTTTCCAAGCTTTCCGGGCAGCATGATCCATCTCTGCCGAACCGTCCTACTCGGTGATGGGACGTGCCCCGGTCGGCGAACCTTGATGCTGGGTGCTAGTCGTGAAAACGGTGCTGAGACCTGCCTATAGATTATATTATCATTGGCTCGGATTCTGGACGCATTACCATCATCGAGTATGTCGCGGCGCAGAATAGATTCCATAGGATCCACCTCGAGACCTTTGGCAAGTCCGGCGTTCGTCGAGTGATTCCGGGTCAGTATCTGGCGGTCGACCCCAAGGGTCGAGCCTGCATGATGGCGTCGGTAGAAAAGAACAAGCTCGTCTATGTTCTGAATCGGAACTCGCAGGCCGAGCTGACGATCTCTTCACCGCTTGAGGCTCACAAGCCACAGACACTAGTCTTTGCCATGTCCGCCTTGGATGTAGGATATGAAAATCCCATCTTCGCGGCACTAGAGGTGGATTATTCTGAGTCGGATCAGGATCCGACTGGACATGCCTTCGAGGAGATAGAGAAGCACTTGGTGTACTATGAGCTGGACCTCGGTCTCAACCACGTTGTCCGCAAGTGGTCTGATCCCGTTGATCGCACGGCTTCTTTGCTTTTCCAAGTCCCTGGTGGTGCAGATGGTCCCAGCGGTGTTTTAGTCTGTGGGGAAGATAGCGTTACCTACCGTCACTCGAACCAAGATGCCTTCCGCGTGCCTATCCCGCGGCGCAAGGGTGCCACTGAAAACCCCGAGCGCAAACGGCATGTCACCGCTGGCGTCATGCATAAGATGAGAGGAGCATTCTTTTTCCTTTTGCAGTCCGATGACGGCGACCTTTTCAAGCTCACCATTGACATGGTTGAGGATGACAATGGTCAACTCACCGGCGAAGTGAGACGGCTCAAGATCAAGTACTTTGACACCGTTCCTGTCGCCTCCAACCTCTTAATTCTCAAGAGCGGTTTCTTGTATGTGGCAAGCGAAGCTGGTAACCATCACTTCTATCAGTTTGAGAAGTTGGGAGATGATGATGAGGAGATTGAATTCTCCAGCGAGAACTTCAACCCGGATCCTACAGTGGCCTGTGATCCTGTCTACTTCCAGCCAAGAGCCGCAGAGAACCTCAATCTTGTGGAGACCATCAATTCGCTGAACCCGTTGATCGACAGCAAAGTCGCGAATTTGACAGAAGACGACGCTCCTCAGATCTACACAATATCTGGCACTGGCGCTCGCAGCACCTTTAGAACGCTGAAACACGGTCTAGAGGTGTCTGAGATCGTTGAGTCTGAGCTTCCCAGCGTCCCATCTGCGGTGTGGACCACGAAGCTGACTCGCGCGGATGAGTTTGATGCCTACATTATTCTTTCATTCGCCAACGGCACACTTGTGCTCAGTATCGGCGAGACGGTTGAAGAAGTCACCGACACTGGTTTTCTTTCCACTGCCCCAACGCTAGCTGTTCAACAACTAGGCGAGGACTCGTTGATCCAGATTCACCCTCGTGGTATTCGACACATCTTGGCCGACCGCCGGGTAAACGAGTGGCCTGCTCCCCAGCACCGGTCAATTGTGGCAGCGACTACAAATGAACGCCAAGTTGCTGTGGCATTGAGCTCTGGAGAAATCGTGTACTTCGAAATGGACGCGGACGGTTCCCTTGCTGAGTACGATGAACGTCGTCAGATGACCGGTACTGTCACCTGCCTGAGTTTGGGTGAGGTTCCAGAGGGTCGGGTTCGTAGCTCGTTCCTCGCGGTCGGGTGTGATGACTCGACTGTGCGTATTCTTAGTCTGGACCCAGATACTACGCTGGAAAGCAAATCTGTTCAGGCTCTTACTGCGGCCCCGTCAGCTCTGAACATCATGTCGATGGCGGACTCTAGCTCTGGAGGCACGACGCTGTATCTGCACATCGGGCTTCACTCGGGTGTTTACCTCCGAACATTGCTTGACGAGGTTACTGGTGAGCTATCAGATACTCGTACACGATTTCTGGGATCCAAGGCCGTCAAGCTGTTTCAGGTTTCTGTCAAGGGGCAGACTGCAGTTCTTGCACTCAGTTCCCGTCCTTGGCTGGGCTACTCAGATGTTCAAACAAAGGGCTTCATGCTTACGCCACTTGACTATGTCGGGCTCGAATGGGGCTGGAACTTCTCGAGTGAACAGTGTGTGGAAGGCATGGTTGGTATTCAAGGACAGAACTTACGGTATGTTTGACCTTTTGTTTCATTCTTTCCCAATCCTCTCCACCGATCATATGATGAACACAAGGGATCCGAATATCTATGTGGATCAACTTTATTTATTTTCCAATTGTTCCTACTGAGATCAATACTGTCACACCATTTTTGTCTGAATGTCGTGCCGCGAACCAAGCTAATTGTGGCTTTCAGGATTTTCTCCATTGAGAAGCTCGACAACAACATGCTCCAGCAGTCAATTCCACTTGCATACACCCCGAGACGCTTTGTGAAGCACCCAGAGCAGCCGCTATTTTATGTCATCGAGTCGGACAACAATGTCCTTGCTCCTGCCACGAGAACACAGCTGCTCGAGGATGCCAAAACTCGTGGTGAAGATGTGACTGTCTTACCACCAGAAGAATTCGGTTATCCTCGAGGCTCTGGTCACTGGGCCTCTTGCATCCAGGTCGTTGATCCCTTGGAAGCTAAATCGGTCATCTATACCGTGGAGCTTGAAGAAAACGAGGCCGCAGTCAGCGTTGCAGCCGTTCCTTTCACAAGCCAGGACGATGAGACATTCTTGGTTGTTGGAACTGTCAAAGACATGACGGTCAACCCTCAGTCTTCTGCTGGAGGGTACATCCACATCTACCGTTTCCAAGAAGACGGCAAAGAGCTGGAGTTCATTCACAAGACTAAGGTTGACGACCCTCCTCTTGCCCTTCTTGGATTCCAGGGTCGTCTTGTAGTCGGCCTTGGGTCTTTGCTGCGAATCTATGACCTCGGTATGAAGCAACTTCTCCGCAAGTGTCAGGCGCCGGTCGTGCCTACGACCATCGTCGGTCTGCAGACCCAAGGAAGCCGGATTGTTGTGAGCGATGTCCGCGAGAGTGTCACTTATGTCGTCTACAAGTACCAGGAGAATGTTCTGATTCCTTTCGTGGATGACTCGCTCTCACGCTGGACGACCACTACTACGATGGTTGACTACGAGACAGTTGCTGGTGGTGACAAATTCGGCAATCTCTGGCTGCTGCGCTGCCCCAAGAAGACTTCCGAGGAAGCGGATGAGGATGGCTCGGGTGCCCATCTAATCCACGAACGTGGTTATCTGCACGGAACCCCCAACCGTCTGGAGTTGATGATCCATGTCTACACCCAGGACATTCCAACCAGCTTGCATAAGACGCAGCTGGTGGCGGGAGGACGCGACATTCTCGTCTGGACTGGTTTCCAAGGCACCATTGGAATGCTGGTTCCCTTCATCAGTCGGGAGGATGTCGACTTCTTCCAGAACCTGGAGATGCAGTTGGCTGCACAGCACCCTCCTCTCGCTGGTCGGGACCACCTGATCTACCGCAGTTACTATGCACCTGTCAAGGGTGTGATTGACGGAGATCTGTGTGAGATGTATTTCTTATTGCCTAATGACACGAAGATGATGATTGCCGGTGAGCTTGATCGCTCCGTGCGCGAGATCGAGCGCAAGATTTCCGTGAGTATTCCTTCTTGTGAACCTGTCCCGACGACCCGACGTCAACTAACCAAGAATGCAGGACATGCGCACCCGGGTGGCTTACTGATTTCGAAACGATGGAGATTCTTGGCGTCTAATCGGGATAATGTCGTGTATGCGGGTTCCTAGATACCCATAATTGATCGCAATGCCCATCATTAGTTGTACAGTTTTCCGTCGTTCCTCCCGGTGGTGAGTTGTTCGTAGACCGTTCGCAGCTTTACGTAGGGTTGGTCTCTTGCCTCGCTCGGTTTTCCGTTTTCCTCTCTCGGATGATCTTGAGCTGGATGCCGCTGTACTTTTATCATACAAAGAAGTGCAGATCGGTATGAGACGAGAGGAAGCGCATTTCTTCGAAATGCCCCTGACGATCTTTGAGTACGATTTTATCCGCTGTTTTTGCCACGGATCTCATCGTAATTTATAGTCGGGACATTACATTGTATTCACGACACAGTTTGTCGGTAGCAATCAATAAAATATATCCTTTTCTGCATGATGATTAAATTCCTGAAAATGCTCCCTGCATGGCTCATGGTTACTGTACTGGGAGCTGTAGCTATTGCTGTTACGACTGCTAATGCTACTGCTCGCGAACCAAGTCAGAAACTGTTCCCCTGACACAGCACTATCCCGTCCAGGGCCTGATATATGCGAGTGATAGAGTCACTCGAGGTTATCCACATCCCACTACGGTGTACGGACCGGTAAAGAAACTATCCCGATACTCAGCACCCATCTCCCACCTAGCCAAACCAACGGGAACCGCCATCCAAACACCGATTCCAATCCTACGCCCGAATATCCCGATCAATGATCCTCGCAGCAGCCAAGCACTTCTCGTCCTGAAAACGCGGCGCAATCACCTGGATCGCGCAGGGCGCGCCGTCGACGGCATCGGGATGATCTGCATTGTCATGTCACCTTAGTCAAAATCTCAAGTATCGTCTGAACTGCACATGCAGTCACACGAAGCTCCAGCCAGCTAGCTGCGGGGAAGATAAGGGATCTAACGTACAACTCGGCTGCACGCCATCTTCGAGCACCATCGGGTCCGGATCGAGGGCCTTGGAGGCTTGGCCGTAGGGGAGAATGCAGGCGGGATACTATCCATATCCATACCGAACTCTCTTGTTAGCATATATTGATTCATTCGCTGCTTCCCTCCTTCACCGCACACAGCACCAAGGGAAATAAAAACATACGTCGACCAGATTCCACACGAGGGTGTACGGCGGCCACCCAAAGGTATCCCACTCGACGGCGGTGTTCTGGGCCCCCGGGGCGAGGACGACGTCCAAGTCGTTGGCGACGAATGTCTCGCGCCACGCGTCGCTGTATCTCCGGCGTTCCTTGTGGAGGGTGTTGATCAGTGTGAATGGGGAGACGACGGTCTCGTCCATCGGGACGGGGAAGGGGCCTGTGAACATTGGGGAACTGGCTTGCGCGACGGAGGGGACCGGGGGTTCGCCGCTGGGGGTGATGTGGTCTATGCTAGGGCTGTAGATGAAGTATTGGAAGCTGAGGCGGTTGGCGTGGGCGAGGTTGGTTGCGCGGGTTGCTGCGAGGGTTGTTGAGGGGGAGGGGGAGGATGCGGTGGCGTTGTCAGGGCTGAGGTAGACGATGCGATGGCCTTTCTTCTTCAGGGCGTCTATTGCGTTCTCTAGGGCGCGTTTCACCGGGGGATGGAGCGGGAAGTGGGCGCATTCGCCGAGGACACCGATTGTTAGTAGCTGCGGCTGCTGGTGGTTCATGGCCCGTGGCCGGGACCAAGGCGCTGCGGTGGCGGCACTGTCGTATCGCCAGGGGGATGCGTCCAGGACTGTGGACATGAACAGGTCCAGATCCTCGAAGGATTGAGCCAGTGGGCCGGCGGAGGGCGTAATGCCCGGCAGGCCCTCCATGGCGCCGCTGGCCTGGCCCGCGAACGGGATGCGGGCGGTGGTGGGCTTGAAGCCGTAGACGCCGCAGCAGAGCGCTGGGATGCGGATTGAGCCGGCGATGTCGGTGCCCACGCCGAGGATGGAGCCCCGGAGGGCGATGAGGGCACCCTCGCCGCCCGACGAGCCGCCAGCTGTGAGGTTCGTGTTGTGGGGGTTCAGGGTGCGGCCGTAGATGTTGTTGTCGGAGTCGCCGGTCTGGGATGGCCGTTAGCATGTCCTGTACTGTACGGTGCCATCGTAGCATGTTCATAATTCCAGACCCGAAGAGACGACGCACCAACTTTCCCCAGTAAGCAAAGAAGATGATAGGGCAAACCTCACCATCATAGTCTGCGGCACATTCGTCTTGACATACAACACCGCCCCCAGATCCAACAACATCTGCACCAACGCGGAGTTCTCCTTCGCCGGGCCATGTCCCAGGAACGACACATACCCGACACTGGTATCGACGCCCTCCACGCGGAAACTATCCTTGAGACTGACCGGCAACCCATGCAACGGACCGAAGACCCTGCCCTCCCGCGTCAAATAGTCATCCAGATACCTCGCTCGCTCGAGCGCTCGATCGAAGAAGTGCTCTGTCAGACAGGATGTCTATATTCCCGGGGACTATGAGTCTCTGTCCTGCGGCACTTGACTGGAGAAGCAAGTGGGGAGGGAGCTTGGAAACAGACCAATTGCTGCGCGACGGCGGCGCGCTTACAGAATGCGGTGGTCACGGCGACGGAGCTGACATCGCCCCAGGCGAGGCGCTGGAGTAACTGGCCCGCGGTGTAGTTCTCGGTGAGGTCGAGTTCCTCGGCGGTGAGGATGTTGCTTTTGGCGACGGCGTCGAAGGCCAGGAGGTGGCCGTTGGCGGGGAGGGAGGCGCGGAAGGCGTCGGTCAGGCGCCAGGCAGAGGGGATTTGCGAGTCGAGCTGCTTGCGCTTGTGGGCGACGATGACGCGCCAGTCTTGCGGGTCCGAGAGCTTCGTGACTGTCATGTTGATTGGACTTGCGATCGCGGAAGGATGATGGGATTAAGGGAGATTGTGTGGGCTCACCTTGGTCAGGGGGGGCCAATGGGGATGTTTATATACTTGGCTGGAATGAAAGGTTCCTCTCCGACTTCATCTGCCGCAAGGAAGAGGAGAAGAGAGGGGCTTATCGTGCGGTGCAGTGAGCAGAGACTGGTTACGACTGGTTACAGTATGTTAGTGCGTATACTAAGTACGATGTGCGTCCACTTGCCTATTTGGGATGCCTCGGCTGCTAGTGGGGTCTATGTTTGGTATCCTGAGGTATAATCATGTTGAAGCATGCTGCTCAATCCGACGTCTCATTCAGTAGGCTTCATCACCACATCGTCGGGCCTCACGCCCCCAAAGTTCGTCAAATAGTACGCATCAATGACAATCCGATCCTCGACGCAAATCATGACCCCAACACAGACCAGCCCATTCAACCAGTTATACCTCCCGGGTCCCGCCTCGATCCTCAAATGCGAGAAGAACTCCACATCATCCTGGGAGACCGTCACCGGCGGACGGGACCGCGGATCCTCCGCCACCTGCCGCGCATACGCCGTCCCCGGCCCCGGACGGTAGAGGCCATGGGCCTGGATGTATAGGTAGTGGCCGTCATCGGTCTTGGCCGTGTAGCGCGCATCGAGGGTGATGGACTGCATGCAGCGTTTTGATCAGACCTCGAACTCGAGAGGCACGGCAATTTGAAGCGTTCTGGGGGAGGCTCACATGCGTCCCTTCAAGCATGGTGGACCAGTCCGCTCCGCCCAAGGGTAGGACGGTCCCTGAAAGCCCCCCCGGCCCCTTGAAGGTGCCGCCGACGATGTTCGCGATACTCCGGATGACGCCTGCCCCGTGCGGGGCGCCGAGGTTGATCTCGTCTTTGTCGATGTCGCATTCGAGGCGGTAGAGGTATGTCAGGCCCGGGCGGCGCATGGGCGGGGTCTCCGGGTAGAAGGCGTTGCCGGGCGAGGGGTTGTCGGGGGTCGAGTTCATCGTGCTGCTGCGTCGGAAGGGATTTGTTTGATAGGAATGATCACTCAATTGCTGTTGTTCACCGTTCAGTCCAATTGAACCGAGTACAAGAGAACCGCGGCACAGCCATGATTTATCTGCTTTTCGCGTTGGAACTGAGAATGGAAGCTGGACGCGACTGGTGTTGTTCATGTAGTAGATCTAGTTGCTGGACCCCGCACAGCGAACGGTACCTGCGGGGAAATGCTTATCGCCACTTCCTGATACGGCAGGTCGACCCTTCTTCATTTCAACTTCTGTTATCAACTGTCAGTCTTCGGCGCGCGAGGAACCCGAACTCGACACTGAGATCGAGTGTACCTTACCTGATAGTAACCTGAATGCTCTGATTAGCCGAACTCTCCGATGTCTCAGATGGCCTGTCATACCTCCTGCAGGAACACTCGTGAATCGAAGTGCTCTCTCCGTAGTATATTTAAGCCAAACCGTCCGCAAGTCCATTCCAGTCGCCAAACGCTACCGTATCATCATCGCTATACGCAGATTCCTCGTCGACCTAGAAGTAAAGACATCAGTCATGGCTTTCGTTCAAGCCGCATTCTCCGACCCGAGAGTCCCCCTCCACGACCGACAAGAAGCCCTGAACCGCGTATTCGCCGACCCAGGCCTTCCAGCACCTGGCGGCATGCCTTCCTTCTGGCTCAGAGACCCCCCATTCTCTGAGCTCGCAAGCTTGCAATCCGCAGAGCTCGCGACAGAAGCGGAGGTTGTGATCATTGGCTCCGGGATTACGGGCGCCTCTATCGCTGGGACCCTATTGTCGAACGCATTTGGCAACAGAAATCAGGAAGCAAGGCCGTCCGTCGTCATTCTCGATAGCCGCGAGGTCTGCCACGGCGCGACGGGCCGGAATGGTGGGCATATCCTCGAGACCGCGGAGGAATTCAGCTATTTCGAAGAAACGTATGGGGTGGATACGGCGATCCGAACCATGAAATTCCGCCTCGCACACCTGGCGGAGCTGCTTCGCGTGGCAGACGAATACGGGCTCAGCGAGGTTGCCCAGGCCCGGAAAGTCCAGTTCCTGAGCGTCCATTTTGATGACGAGAAGTGGGTGGAAACGGTGCGGTCGATCCGGCGACTCAAGGAGTGCATGCCTGCCGAGACGGTGGAATGGAAGATTTTCGAGAAAAGCGAGATTTTGAAGGTCAGTTTGTTTCCCAACTTTCGTCGTATTCGAGGAAGAGTTTAAGGATGCGTGTGATTCCACGAGGTTCAAACACTTACAGTAAGATAGGAGTTCTGTCTGGCCCCAGACGCTCGAGGTGTCATCGCCGGGCCCGCCGGCGCCATGTGGCCGTATCGCTTCGTCACGGGCCTCCTGGCTCGTCTACGCGATCAGCATCCCAAGGACCTCCGGATTGAGACCAAGACACCCGTAACAGCTATTCGCGAGAACGTGACAGCCACAGACTCGCCCGCACTGCGATACTCCGTCATCACGCCGAGGGGAACGATCCGGGCACGTCATGTCATCCACTGCACGAATGCGCATGTCGGTCACTTGGTGCCGGGACTGCGCGGCCGCATCTACCCCATCCAAGGAACAATGACGGCGCAGAACCCAGGGCGCAGCTTCCGACCACAGGGAACCGAGCACTCCTGGCTGTTCAACTATGAGCATGGCTTTGATTACCTGACGCAGTTGCCCTCTTGGGGGAAGACATCCAACAAGATGATGCTGGGAGGGGGTTTTGGGCAGCATGCAGATCGAGGGATCTTGGCTCTGGGAGTCGCTTCAGATAACGAGGGAGTCCCACCGTATACGCTGGACCATTTGAAGAAAACGCCCAAGAAGGCGTTCGATCACGAAGATTGGGGCGAGTGGAGCGCTGATCGGGATGTTGACACGGCGTGGACGGGTAACATGGGCTTCAGCGCAGATGGATACCCGTGGATCGGCAAGCTCCCGCATTCTGCATCTGGCCGTGGGGAAGCAGTGGAGGGAGGGGGAGGCCATGGGGCCGAATGGTTGTCGTGTGCGTTCTCGGGCGAAGGCATGGTGCAGGCGTGGCTGTGTGGGAAAGCAGTAGGTATGATGGTGTTGGCCCATGATGGACGATTAGCTGGAGAGGTGGATCTTTCATGGGTGCCTGATCAGATGTTCGTGACTGAGGAGCGGATCGAGAAATCGGTCCTGCCACGGGTGGTGGTCACCAATCGTCGCTCATCTCAACTGTGAGGGAGTATTTGTAGTGAAAAGGATCAGCAACGTAGGTGAGGTTGAAGTGGCAGAAGGGTGGATAGGGCGGATGTCTTGCTTTGTCAAAAGTACCAAGAATGGAAAGTACTGCAATGCCAACGTCTTAGGTCCATTACACGATTAAGAACGAACACAAAAAGAGAGGAAGGTATTTTAGTGCTACATAGCAACATCGCAAGAATCTGTGCTCATGACCCAGGACAAATGCATCCATCAACAAGAACCTTCTAAAGTCTCTATCCATCCAAATATCCATTTTCAAGGATTTCCTGCTCCGCCTTTCCTGATATTATCATACTGTGAAACAGGGTACTCCAACTGATTCTCAGTCTTATCCAGAACATTGATACCCCCAAGATTATCGACCAACTTCATTCAGAATGTGTTAGCCCCTATCCATTCTCAAAAAAAAAAAAAAAAAAGGCAAAGCTCACCGTGACAATCAAGCTCTCCTGACCCTTCCGATCCCCCGACGTTTCCCAGAACATGCCGCCGCCCAGACACTTGTTCTTGATGTACTCGGCCTTCAGCTTCACGATATTGGGGGTATCGTAGCTGACCATCGTCTTGCGGGCGGCATCGTACGAGAAGCTGGCGCCGAGGTCGTTGAGCTCGGTCACGCTGGCCCCGGGCTGCGGGAGGGCCTTGTAGTCCCAGATGCCGTTCTCGTAGCTCCCGCCGCCGACGCCGTTGAAGGGCTTGCCGGGCCCGTCGGTGTTGGCGAAGGAGCGGCCATAAATGGGCATGCCCAGGTTGATCTTGTGCGGGGGCACGCCGGCGGCCGTGTACGCGTTGATCGCTTGGTCCGTGTTGAAGGGGGTGGAGGCCGGGTTGTTGGCCGCCGGGAACAGGCTGGACGCGTGGCCGGCGACGGTGCCCCAGCTGCCGGCGTAGTCGTAGGCCATCAGGTTCCAGAAGTCGAGCTGCGCGTCCATGCTGGCGAGGTGGAGGACGTTGTAGTTTGAGGGGCCTGCGGTGGGGTTCAGTTTTGGGGCCGGTGGGCCGGTTAGAGGACAAGGGAAAGAGAGGACGTACCCGCTGGAGAGGCAACGCTCAGCAGGAAGTGTTTGCCTTTACCATGTTCCCGGCCGTATTTGTCAAGTTCCTTGTGTGCAGGATAGATGGTCAGCCATAAGACGAATACACCAATGAAATCATCATCAAGCACGTACCATGCGAAGCTCACGCAGAAGCAGAACCATATCATTAGCCTGGCCGTCATTTGCAGGATACTGCCGTGTATAGATCAGTATCGGATATCATCTCCAGACATCCAGCCTGCAGAGAGATAGACATTGACACACTTACCTCCCAATCAATATCCAACCCATCAAACCCCACATCCCCCATCAACTTGACCGCCGTCGACGCAAGCTTCTTGCGGCCCTGCTCCGTGCTCGCCGGCGTGGCAAAGTTCCCCGAGTACGTCCACCCGCCGATCGACAGCATGACCTTCATGCGGCGGTTCTTCTTCTTCAAGAGGAAGAGCTGCTTGGTACACCCGTAGGCATTGTTGCCGACATCGTTCCACGAGTCGCCCGGGTAGTGCTTCTGGACATCGGACCAGGAATCGGTGAGGTAGACCTCCCCGTCGGCACGGATGTTGGCAAAGGCGTAGAGAACGTGGGTGAGATTCTCGGCTGCAATGTCCTGCGGATTGTGGTTTCTGGCATAGATTGCCTGTCTCCCCCCCAGAGGGTGTTAGTGGTTCAGAATAACTCAGTGTTTTGATTGGCGGTATTATAGATGGGGTAGCTCACCCAGTTCACAAAGTATGCAACCGACTTGTAGCTCGGGGGCTGGGAGCAGTTGACAGGCTTGGGCAAACCCTTCTGACCCTGCGGAAGTTGTGGCGCGACTCCAGAAGGAAGGGCAGCGCCGTGGATCATCAGCCCACCCGTGGCGAATAGAAAAGGAATGATGGTTCTCATCGTGAGAAAAGGAGTGATCAGTAAAGAGAGAAAGAATGGTGTTGATAGAGAAAGGAGGGACACGAAGATTGAAGCTGGTAGGCGAGATCAAGGAGAGGATAGGTTGTTATGAAAGAGAGGGACAAAGACACGAGAGAAGAAGAGGAGGGAAGAAGGAATGATCACATCTGTAGATGACGCAGAGAGGGTTGATAAAATCTCTGACCGCATTATATAGTCACCACCGACTTTGAGTCAACCTCATCTTCGTCCGTCCCGTATATCTCGCCTCGACGGGACGAAAGTGAAAGTGTCAGCCCAGCAGCAGTGGAATCAAACGTGCATGCGACTTGTTACACCTCGCCCGTTTGTTATCTCTGGGCCATGCATCATCCTACCCACCCCCAGCAGGTTCTGTCACAGAGTCGATCCATCTTTTGGGCCCCATGATGGGTCGAGACCACCGTCCCTGATCACAACCGCCAACGGACGAGGTAGGAGTCACTGTACTTGAAGTACCCATACTGTCTCACAGGGCTGACTTGGCCTCACGTGTGCCTCGATCTCTGACAGAGTCAATCCCAGCAGATGCTCGCAATCCGACCAATTCGGTTGGGACAAGTCCCATGATGCAAGGGCCGCGAGAGAAGCAAATATCAGGCATAAGTGAAGAAGGTTTCCCCACGGATGTGTGAATGTATCATGCGCTGTAAGCCATCCGAGTCACCGCTGATGGGTGGAGGGGCTTGTACGACCTCCTTCACCCTGACGGGGATATCGATGGGAATAGCCTCAGATGGAGGCCTGAACAGGTAAGTAGCCCCGAGTCCCGACTCGGCTGTCGTTGACATGTGCTCCTTACCGCTGAAGAACATTCACCGCTGTACTCGGCACCCAGAAAGTACGAGAGATGTATCAAGTCTAAGCAGGTCATAAGCAGTTCATTAAAGTCCAAAACTCTATTTAATAGTCATGATATTAATTAAAGCTATTCAGCATTACCTAGCCAAGTCAAATAATCCCAAGTCAAACTTTTTTTTCCAGTCGTAGATAGCAAAGGCTAAATCAGGCAATTGGGTATATTGCAAATGAAACGAATGAAAAGAGAAAATCAACCATAACGCCTTTCATCGTAGTTAGTGTTTCAAATGCACCTTGCAGGTGAGATCGCATCAATGGATTCGCATATTAGCAGGCCGCTCTCATACGCCCCGGGTTTACAGTGGTCGAGGGGGGAAGGATCCTTGAACGGTCTGGAAGTAGATGGGCGGTGCGCACGGCCGTGTACTCGGGAGGTGTAACTTCAGGCTCCGAGATCCAACGGGGTGCGATGCTGCGAGGACTGAAGAACTCGGCATTGACCTCCTCCTGCGTGATCTCGACGACGGTGTTTTTCGGTCGAGCGTCCGCTTGCGGCTGACATGTCAGCTGGATCGGGATCTTCAAGGATGTCGTCGGCGTCAAGATGTTCGCGTTGGGGGTGTGATAAGAGAGACTGAGCTCCAGGCTGTAGATGCGGGCGACGAGGCAGGAGTGAAATGTGGGCACAAAAGTCTTCGACTTGGGTAACGTGATTGGTACGACCACTGAAGCTGTGTAGAAGGTGTTTCCGGAGAAGGAAGCGGACGGCCCCGGTAGAGACTCCGTCGAGGACGTCGAGTGCATGGAGTCGCGGCGCGGGGCGTCTGCACTCGTGTGCTTGGTCCACTGCGCCGAGGCTACACACATGGTCGATAGTGGCACAGCTTCTGTAAACATTCCTCGACCAACCTGCGCCCACGTTCGGATAGACGAAGTCGAAGGGTAATCGCCCCACGGCTCCGCACTATAGAACGTTGTCGCTCGCAGTCGACTCCACACTGTCCCCAGACGTGGAGGTTCTTCATTTCCGAGTGGGTCAAACCGAAGGTGCACGGTTGCCACAGTGCTAACGATGCTCGTGTCATCGTTACTGGTCGGATTCAACTGTATAGGTTTCGGTTGCGATGCAGCGACAACGATGCGTCCCTGCTTTCCCCTCATGAAGCCACGCTTGACGTCTTTCTCCTTGCGCACGCAGTACAGGGTCTCGTCATCCGGAATGTTGAGAGGAGGCTCTTCGTCCACCATAGGCACAACCCGGACTTTCTTGCCAATCGAAGCGAGGGTATCGATTGAACCGTTCTGACTGACGGGGTTTCTCTGCAGAGTTGCGCGAACGATATATGAGATCCGGCACATATCAGGAGTCAGGTCGTCAAGAAGCGATTTACCGTCACTGGCGAGCATGGGGTCCCCAAAGGTGGGCGGAAGCATGGTGTGCGATTGCTCGACGTGGATATTGGTTTTCGGATGGCTGCAGACATGAGGCAGTAGGCGTTGCGGGACCACGAATACAAACGGAAAGTCATAAGTGCGTCCGGCCTCGAGGATGCGTGGAGTCGGATATGCTGCATCCTCAATGGGCTGCCGAAGTCGTAGGAAGGTCTGATAAGCGCCCGTTCGGCCAGGCATCGATTGTCGCTCCACTGAGGTTCGCGAGGTGCCTAGGGAACAATCAGAACCAATTGTGGTCTCCTGATGTAGTGTTTATTGTACCTTCAAATGTAATCTCCAACTCATCGAAACGAGTGTCATGGTCCACGGTAACTGTCACTGTGCCCTTGATGGTGTCTCCAGTGGTGTACACATTGACCAGACCGTCGTGTTGACCATCCAGGTCGATGTTGACCTTAGGGCGGGGGCGAACCGAGAAGCGCCCGACAGAGCTGGAGCTCCGCGACACGCTCGAGGCACTCGTCATCGCTGTTTGTTGATGAAAGTCGATCAATGTTGGACTTGTCGAACACGGAAGGTAAGAAAAAAGATATTGCTCACTAACGAGCAATTGGTGAATATGAAATGACCGCCAACCAGTTTAGCCTGACCGGGGGGGGGTGTTTGGATGTTATTGTTGATCGTCGGAAGTATAAGTCAAGTATGAGTAGTTCGGATCAGGAGTCAAGAAGAAGCAACACAGGAAAAAATAAGGTGAGATGCAGGGACTTTTTATTCCCGGCCAGTCAGTCACTCAACGGCAGTCAATGGTGACACAAACAAGAGTTAGTAGGGACAATGATGAGGAAAACGCGAATCCCAAATAACCCCCAGTCCCCCCAAAGGTACCATATATGGGATTCCAGGGAGAAAATCGGCAACGGGCAAGTATGTAGGGATGGGGTGACGGGGAGTTGCGATTGAGTAATAGAAAAGGTACAGTGGAGATCGTTCACTCCACTATTTCTTGTAGATGTCCGTGGTTTTCCGTTCTGATACTACTACTGAGTATCAAACAATAAAAAAGTCCCTGAGTGAAGATTTTCAAGGTTCGATTGCAATGAATGATATGAAATTCAACCACCAAGGTTCCTGTCCTGGGTCTGTGGTTTTAATACCTACTCTACCGATTCTCCCTCGAGACCCTCAATCCTTTTACCTCCCCAGAATGAGTCACGCAAGAGAGCTGATAAATCCAAGGCAATAAAGCGAAAGCGAAAGCGGAAAAAGAAAAAAGAAAAATGCACGTGCGATCTTCAATTCATTTGTCTGTTTGTTCAATTCATTCAAGTTCCATTCATTCATTTCGACAGTTTTCTCCCAATACTTGCCATTCTGGACTAGCGCACCCCATATCCCGCTGGGAAGAGATTCGCATTCTGTGGTCGGGACGGGCTTTAGCTTTGCATGAGGAATGGACCCTCCACTCCTACTCCTAGTTGGTTGTCGCGCGCGCCCTTTGCTGACATCGCTCAGGCGAACAATTGAGGAAAAGCGTCACGCCCTACGGAACAAGCAGTGCGCCCCCTCGTATGGGTGTGTGGGTTGTACTCTGTATGTCCGCGGGAAAAGGCCCGAGTTGGTGATGATGATGACGCAGCTAGGCCCATGGCCAGCACTGTCCAGAACACACACCCACACACTCCCCTTCTGATGTCCTGACGGACGCTCGAGCATCACGTCTGTGGTGATGTTGATGATCTCTCTTTTACGGCTTCCCTCTCCCGGCGCTACTATCGGCTGTCTCGTGTCCGACAAAGACGGATGATCGACTCGATTGCTTTGTGTGCGAACACGAAACTCAGATGCTCAGTTAACCATGGAGAACATTATTAATCACGGATGCAGTCCCAGCGGTCTGGACATGGACCCTCGATTTGATGGAGGCTTGGAAGAAAACAAACGATCACGAGGAACACATCGGGATTTCCTCACCATCCTGATTGATCAGAGAGAAGAACCGGTGCCCACATCCTCCCCCCCCCCCTTCTTCAGAATCTAAGCCCAAACTAGGGCTGAATTTGCGAACAAGAAGGAGTCATCCCGCAATTGCTAGCCGATGTCTGACGTCCATGAGTCGATACTCCACGCCTTCATCGTCAAATTCACGCCCTTGCAATGACATGACATGCATGCGCAAGCCACAAGGGCGTTGTTCGCTTGATCTGTTTGCCGATGACGGAGCATTTGACGCGGTCTCATTGGTGGCCTCTGCCGGGTCAAGGCACTTTCTCAGGCTTTTCCTGAAAGAGAAGGAAGAAGGAGAAAACTGCGTAAGAAATCCTGGTTCGGTTCACGCTCCTCCATCTTGCTCGGGCTACACAACAACAGAAAGATATATCAATCGATTGCACCATTGTATAGAATGGTCGAACCACAGGCGGTATCTTGACATTATATTATCCTTTGCTGTTATGTTATCCGGACCCAGACGAAGGTAACCGCCCCGGAGTTCCCACCTTGTCCAGACTCCAGACCAGGGCCCCCCCCCGTCGGGCGCTCCAGTTCTATCCGCCCTTAGCCGAGATTCAAGCACGTCTTTTCTACTTTTCCTCGCGCTTTTGGATCTTCTTCTCCGCCTGAGCCCAGCCTCCTCGCGTGTTTCCCGACCGAAACCACTCGCATACAGTCGGCCCGGTCAAGTTCCCCGGCCCTGCTGGACGGCCAGTTCCCGATACCGATGGGCCTTGGCCCGTCGGAACCGCTTCCCGTAGATTACCATCACCACTAGCATCAGATTTACCCCGAGACTAATAAATCCAACGGTGATGAACATCTTGGTTAGTCCATAGGTCTCCATCCACGGACTGATCGCGAATGGAATCCCAATGCTGAAGACGTTGCGCATGAAGGCCACGCCAGTGAAGGCATCTCCCGTGAGCTAGATCATGCATTAGCTGCACTTAGCACTTTCGCTAGAATGGATTGAAGATGGTGTCTTACCAACACATGGCTGTCAATGACTAGTGTCAAGCATGCGTCGCTAATACTGCCTAGGCCAAAGCCGAACAATGCCCCACCGATGCTGGGGTAGATCCAATGCATACCCTGGACGAACCACACGTCAGTGAGGAAGGTTGCTTTCAACTCAAAAACACAGATCACTCACTCGGTCCAGGGTCACGCCGAACATTATCAGCCCACCACACAGTGCGATTGCTGGCAGGTGGAGGATATAGAGCCGCATCTCCGGCTCAAAATAGCCTCTATTACGTCGAGCAAAATATCGAAGCGATCGGTCTCCGAGATACCCTCCGTAGAACGACCCAATTAAGTTCCCAATGAATGGTCCAATGCTCATGAAGCCGACTTGTTCCGGGTTAAAGAGGTAGGGTGGGAGCGGGAGGACAAGAGAAAGAACGGTTGACACGATCGTGAGCCACATGACGCCACACGCATACTGCAGGCCACAGCAAAGCACAGCAGGGAACGTAAAAAGGATCTCAAAAGGCCGATAGTAATAAGGCCAAATAGGTTCCGGTGTGTAGGTCGCAAGAGCTAGTCTTTGCCGCCAGGTCTTCATTGGGACACTCAAGTCGATCTCAACACGCTCAGCACTGGGAGCTTCAGTTTGAGGAATGATGTATTCCGCAATGGTCGACTTGCTATCTCCCTTGGTGCTAGAAGTTGGCACCACCCGAGGTTCATCGATAGATTCCTGCGAGTCGTGAACTCCATCTATCACCACTGTATACTTTGTCTCTTCGTAGAAGAACATGAACAGTACAAAGATGATGGTATTACAGATGCCAAGCGTACGGTATGACATCCTCCAGCCTTGGTGGGTCGCCTGCACACCGGCAGCCATGGGAGTTAAGAAGCTCTTACTAGACGTCAGCTGCAGTACTCAAAGTCGAGGCTCGATAATCAAAGGCTTACACCAATCATCACCATCGTCATATACAATGCATTTATTGTACCGCGGTGATGCACAAAGAAGATGTCCGCAATCTGATGACGTTAGCGCAGCACCATTTCGGAAACAAGAACACGCACAGTGATTTGGGCAATAGCCTCATTAGTCGCCCCAGCCAAGCCCTGGATGAGGTTTGTGGCATAGAGCTCAGAGAGACTCTTCATCTCTGCCGTCCAGAAGGCAGTTACAAGCATCAGTGCGGTGGAGATCAGGTAAATGGGCCGACGCCCATATTTCTTTGCCAGGGGGATGAACATGATGCAGCCCATAGACAGGCCAACTGAGTTGACCGACGAGGATCGATTCAGTTGGGTATATGTGACATTCAAGTCAACCACCATCAGTTGCCAGAAGATGAGCTGAATCGAAAGCCTACAGGTAAAAATGTCAGCCATGAGCTCCAATCCCTGTTAATCGGTTCCCAACTCACGCAGTGAAAATGAGACAGGTAACTGCCAGTATTAGAGTGACGTTCACAGCTTTGCGCGCGGTACTCCAATTCTTTCTCGTTCCACGCATGTCAGCGCATTCTCTTTGTCTTTCGAAGAAGGGTGTTTTTACCAGAGGCTCATTGGGATCGCTTGAAGGGACCGGGCTGAGGAGGATCACTTGTTGACCTTGAGTCTCATCCTCATTCTCTGTATCTCGCTGTCAGTTTCTTGGCTGCTATCATCGAAGAGGAAAGTCTTGCCCTTGACGAAGAGGAAAGTGCCTGGTGGTAGGTCATCTTCCACTCGATCCTGAGATACCGAGCCGTGGCCTGCCATCAATGTTTGCCCAGGGCAAAGGGAGACGAATGAATTGTGAGGAAGTATTTACAGAAAGGCTGTTGATGATGGCTTCCATGATCAGGCTCGAAGTATGCCTTGAGCGAGATGATATATAGTCGCCCGCGCAGACTCACGCGTTCGGTGGCGTAAGGAGTTCCCGACATTCCATTCCACGCGTCACTTGCTAGAAGCCGTAAACCCTATCATGATAGATGATGGCGATGGAGATTACGAGTGCAGTGGAATTGAGTACGAAATGCGGGGAAACCGAGTGTTTGGTGTTTAGACCAGGCACTGATAGATAAGAAACCGCCTCAATCCATCCTGAGGAGTTGATCAAATCCCAACGAGGAAATGCAGAGCGGGTCGGGGGGTCGACCTGCCAACAAGGGAATAGCTCGGGCTACCTAGTATGAAGGCGCTTTGCTACCTTAGATATAGCATTACGCAAAACCATTCAGTCTGAGCATAACGGGTTTTTTCATTTGTTTTTCATGCCGAACGCATTGTTGTAAACTTGGAGATGATTCAAAGCCGATCCAGAGAAGGAAGGTAGACACCTTGCCACCAACATTTAGCGTGTTATAATGCGGGTGGTATAGGCTGACAAGCGACCTGACTTGTAGTTATCTAAGGTTAAATCAAGTTCATCCTTGCCATGAGATGATAAAGAGGCGGTTCATTCGTGATGACCGAGAGCCAGTAGCACCCTGGTCTCTTATCGGATGTGAATTTTGGTTCCCAATACCTAAGCAGATGGCTTCAACTCCCCGTTTGGATTTTCTTCGAGTTTATGATGGTCTGGTCACTTGCTTAAAACATTTGCTGAACTACTGCGACTGACCCTTTTGAGTCGAATAGATCTTCGTTCAGTCAGCGCAGTCGCACACACAATCAGCCTCTCGTTCTCGAATGACCCGTTAATCCGGTGGCTACGACCTGCTGCTGCTCCATGGATAAGGCGGCATACGAGCACATTCAATTGGCAATATCGTCGGGTACAACGGTTCATCTCTGAGGGCCTTGTTTTTCAATCGGCTCCAGTATATCAGATTGCACATTTGTTTCCACCAAATCGAGGAGTGTCAGATAGTTCAGCCTCGATCAAGAAGATACCGCACTGTCATGATGAAAATGATGCTGGCGTAGCTATTATGCTATATCCGCCTTCAAGGCAATCGAGATGGACAATCGGGAGGCTCATTTTAAGTGTAAAGGTTTGGTTTCTGGATCTGGTAAGCCCAGTCACAGACGATGGGGCAAATATGATGGTCGGTACCTGCTCTCCCCCATTGAAGAACAATAGGTTTCTGATCCTGATATTTGCTGATGCGACCGCACCACAGCGCGTGGAAAAGCTTATGAAGTCTCATGACACCTCGCTCAACACCATCGAAAAAAAATATGGTGTAAATGATCTGTGGTATCTTGAAGTATTGGCTGTCCATCCTTCTCTCCAAGGCCGAGGATTAGGCAGCATGGCGATGCAGTGGGTTCTGGACCGTGTTCAGGATTCGCCGATCTTCCTAGAGTGCACAGCGGAGCAAAATGTGAAGTTTTATGAGAGGCTAGGTTTTGAGGTTGTTGAAGAAGTGGATTTGACCGATGAAACAGACATCGCCAAAGTTTGGCTCATGCTTCGACAGACACAGAAACTTAGTTCCTAAGTGTGGTTATCCTGTATGCTCCTGATCAATACAACGCAATCTCCAACCCTCGCACATAAGCAAGTTCATGTATACTCGTTTGCTGAGGGCCAGATATCCACCATTCCTCGAGGATTTCCAACAAGATCTGCAAGAACCGTTCATTCCCAGGCGGATCATGGAGGTTGTCACCCCAGCCTTTGATCAAGGCTTTCAAAAATGGCCTTGCGTTCATGACATGGGACTCCAATGAAGCAACAGCCAGAGGATAGAAGACTGCATTTAAAAGCAAAGTACTCGTTCCTTCAGGCTCCTTTGCTGCTCTGAAGATTGCATCCAAATTACTGAAAATGCGCAGCACAAGCACCTCTGTGGTAGGAAGAGCACGTAGCCGGAGCCCTCTCTCATGAGAGTTATCTGGCTGCGTCATGGTCATATCATCAAATCGGTGCAAGCGACGATGTCTCACAGCCAGAATTCCCGCCGATCTATAAGCTTCCCACAGCTGGCATTGTAGCAACGTGCCCTGAGCACCAGGCCAATTCCAGAATTCTTCTTCGTTGGCCTCTCGCGTGCCAATACAGGAGAAAATGTCGAGCAAAGTCCTTGGAAGGCCGCTTACTAGCTCGACATCGTGACCTAGCTCTGAATTTATTGCAGTGGGATCTTTGCGTTTTCGGCAGTGGTTTCTCCAAAAACCAAGAGAGGGGTTTCGGCGACCAATGGTAAAAGTAGGAAGATCCATCACTCCCATTACCTCGAAAAGATGTGTGCGAAATGTACTATTTTCGGATTGAAGGGTTTGAAACCCTTGCGATTGAATGATACTGTACATACCTCGAAGGTGCATCGTCCAGGGTGTGCCACGCAAAACCTGATTGATTTAGTATCGTTGCGGATGGAGACAGGGGGTTAACAAGGACATGAGCGCACCCCAACGCTGCAGAGAAGAAGCCCGGCTGCAAATGTACCATCTGGCAAGTATGACGCACTGTGTGCCAATTCGGATCGAAAATGATTCAGCGCCGCGTCGTAATACTCGAAGAATCGAGGCCCAATGTCGTCGCATATTGAAACTTGGAGGGCCAGGCAGATGAAGTATAAAGCATCGGATTGCCGACAAAGCGTGGGTAATTGCGCTCCCAGTAAACTGGTATGGTCATCGGCGGTTGTTGAGTGGAGAGTGTTTACACCTGAAGTAAGGACTGCACAAGACTTAATCTTCCATCATCGTAGACAGAGACAGGGGTCAAAGGGGACATTTGCATACATTTCTGAAAGAGTACTTCGTCTTCTTCTGATCGCTGTCGTGATCCGGGGGACGTTAGTGGAGACAGGTCAGAAGAGAAATTAGTGCTAGCATCATAAGCTGCCCCAAACATGTTAGCAAGAGGTTAGTACTGTACATAGGTAGATGAAGAACACATGGGACACGGTACCTGCAATATTACTGCAAGGAGAGGAAGTAGTAACCCTTGTCTTCCCCACGTCGGCGATGAACGCATCTTCTTGCTGGGCTCGGCGCCTCTCACGACTAAGATCACGCCGCCGTCCTTTGCGCCTCGGAGGTACGGAGGTCTCGATTGGCTCTTCTGCCCCAGTGTAACGGCCTCGCGATGCAATCCCGGCTCCCCATCGCAGCCGGACCTCATATCCCTCACATTGAAGCCCGCGCTGAATGCAGGTTCGGCAGTTAGGCCTCGTCCTATCGCATTTGCGGCGTCGGGCCTTGCATGTCCAGCAGCCGTGATGAGATCGCTGACGAGGGGTCGACATTCCTGATCGGTGTCATGAAGTATACAGAGGTCAGTTAGACCAAGATGGGGGTCATGCTAGGCAGAAGCGGAAAATAAAGACCTGCTTAAAATGTGAACCCTTATCTGATAACGTGAACGTGGAGAGTATGGGTGAGTGAGTGAGGGGAAAGTCGGAAAGATAACAACGTGCCTGGCCGATAATCATCAGTCCCGAGTCTGGGGGTCAACTTGCTGTATTGGGTCTAGCTCAGCATCAGCCTTGTTTCCTTATGCTTTGCACGGAGAACTGTAGTTGTAAACAGCTTCATCCCACTGGGGGTTGCAAGTGACCCCTGATCTAATATTGACAATGGCTGCTGCACGTGCGACGAACTTGGCCTCCACCATCCTTCTTTTTCCTTAAATAAATAGCAATGGAGGAAGACATGCAGTCTTGTTGACAAAATACTTCTCACCAGGTCTACTATGTCCTTCCTCACTCCGGTCTCAGGATGCTCAATTGAGCTACAATCCCTTGGGAACCTTGAGGGTCTGCAATATGAGAACGGGGTACAGCAGTATTGTGGCATTCCCTATGCTCGTCTTCGCAAACGTTGGACACGTTCAGAGCTGAATACCACATGGGAGAATGACCACCATGACGGGACAAAACTGGGGTAGACGATACTTCTTACATTGATAATGCTTCTGGTCTCACTAACGAGAATCTCTAGAGCTGATGTCCCACGGCCAACGCTGGAAGGCGACGACTCGGACGATTTAACGCCAGTGCCACCACCGGCGCACTTCCCAGAACTCCCACAAGTGGAAGAGCTGCACGGGCTCGTGATGAACATCGTGATTCCCCATGCTCCAAAGAGCCAGAAACTACCCGTTTTCGTCTACGTCCACGGTGGCTCGCTCCTATACGGGGGTGCCAACCTTCCCATCTTCGACTGCGTGAACCTCGTTTCGCATAGCATCAAAATCGGAAAACCCATCATATGCGTCAACTTCAACTACCGCGTCGGGCTGGGCGGTTTCCTGGCCAGCCAAGCCATCAAGCAGGACCTCGAACGCGACGGCTATCAAGGATGCGGAAACTTTGGATTCACAGACCAGCTGGTAGCCTTCGAATGGGTCCAGCGATACATCGCGTCCTTTGGCGGTGACCGTAACGAAGTCACAGCCGTTGGAGAATCGGCCGGTGGGATCTCCATCAGCAACCATCTAGTAGCGGCCCACCCGCCGCGCTTCCACCGAGCCGTGTGCATGTCCGGCCTCTCCGTTTCCATCCCTCCCTGGACCATGGAGCAACACGAAGAGTACTTCCGCGCCGTATGTCGGTACTTCGACATCAACCCGTCCGCCCCGGACGTGCTCGACCGCCTGCGTGAGCTCCCCCAGCAGGAACTTGCGAACGCCACCGCCGCCATTCAAGGCGTTCTCTCGGGCACCGGAAACCCCTGTCTCGACGGGTGGTTCTACGATCGCCATCCCCTGGAGGTCCACGAGCCACCCCGCTGGCTCAAGGCCTACATGCTGGGCGACGTCTACCACGAAGGAGTCATCTTTCACCTCAACATGCTGACCGACACATACGATACAATCTTCCAAACCCTCCAAAGCAAGATCCAAAACGCCGACGAAACCACCCGAATCCTCAGAGAGTACGTGATCGAGCCCGAAGGACTAACCTCGGAAGAACTTCTCACGCGCCTGGAACACATGTGCGGGGACGCGATCTTCAAGATTCCCAATTATGCTACCTCCCTGCTCTGCACTTCTCTGCGGGAGAAGAACGCTTTATACCTCTATCACTTTGACCGACGGTCCCGGCTCAAGAATCCCTTGGAGGGTACCGCATACCACGCCATTGAGCTCCTGTATCTCTTTGGGAACCTGGACAACGAAATGAACGACGAAGAGAAAGCCATGGCTCGGGATTTCGCCACGGCGTGGATCGCCTTCGCGTACGGCGAAGCACCGTGGTCCGCACGGGAGGGTCATTGGAAAGTCTGGGGTCAGGCCTGCGTTCATATGGTCCAGAGCGAAGAGGAAGATCAGGAGATCCGTGACTATGCGCGTATGAAGCGGATACTGGCTATGGGGGACGGCAGGACCTGGACCAAGTGGCTTGAAGGGGTAGATTCGCTTGTGAATAAGCGGATGAACATGGGCAAGTTTACCAGGCAGAAAAAACCTGAATTTTACTTCAGTTACTAGCCAGTCCATGTAGCCAAGGCAATGAATATGCGAACATAAATTCCGATCCTTGCTTGCTCTTCTATTTCAAAGGATTCTTCTAGATACAACAAGAAGAAAATGAGGTATATATGTTAAGAGACATCAACATCAGCAACAACAACAACAACACTCAGCATCGAGAAACAAACACAGGAATCCTGGGAACTTTTCAAAACAAAGTATTTACAACGACAAAGGACCCCCAATTGCCAAGGTACGCCATCCGGCATCATACAAGAAAAAGTTTCAATCACTGAAGATTCCTCCTCCTCAAACCCCCGGAGTTTTAGGTGAGCATATCATCCAACCTCTCACCCAGGACCTCCTCAATCTGCTTGACCCACTTCCGGACCTCCCGCTCGACGTTCTCATCTTCATCTTCCATCAACTCGCTGATGTACGGCAGCATCTCCGGCAGCAACGCGAGCCATTCTTCGCCGAGCTGCTCGGTGAGCGATTGCTCCGCCTTGAGGGCGGCCAGGCGCGTGTGCGGATTCTCGCCGCCGGCAGCGGCCTTGCCCGAGGGTCCGGCCGAGGGGCGGAGGAGACGCATCAACGCCGTGTTGAGTTCCTTGTGATTGTCCGTGGAGTCGGCGGCGACGGCCAGCTCCGTGATGGCGGGGACAGCCTCGGCGATGACGAGGGCGGCCGTGGAGGAGTTTGTGGCATGGGCGAGCTGGGAGATCAAAGGCCGAGCGATCGCGGTGAGGTGGGAAGGAGATTGCCAGAATTCTGTGGGAGGTGTGTTAGATAATGGAGGACTCCTGTTGTGAGGGGCGTTGAGAGGCGAAACATACCGTCTTGGTCGTGCTCGAATGCATTCCGGAGCATGCGCATCGTTGCCAGCCACAGACTCTTAGTGTTCTGGTTGGAGGGGCTGGCTTTGGCGAGAACCTTAACCACGTTTTCCAGGATGTAGCTTGCGTAGCCGGTGACAATAGACTGAGTCGAGTTAGATATGATGATTGCATTGAACGATTGATCGGATGAACTTACCTGAAGAGTGCCGAAGAATACTTGGAGGAACTTGTAGAAGGTCGTAAGGCGAGCCAGGCTACCTTGGGTATCTTTTTTAGCTGTAGTGGTGGACGTAGCCCAGTCAAGGAGCTTGGTGAAAATAGGACGGAAGGTGGTATCATTTAACTTGTAAACCATCTTGATGGCGACCTCGTTGACGACATCCTCAATCTCATCCAGGTGTGACAAGTCGATGGTGGCATTCGAGCCTGAGGACACTTGCTGGCGGCGGAGGTCAAACGCCTTGAACAAAATGCTGGTGATGACCGCCAGGTTGTTGACGGTGGCAGACTTGGGATGCTTCTCAATGGCAAGGCTGACGATTCCCAGAGTCTCTAGGATAGCATCGGGGCCGATTTCCACAGCGTGTTGCCAATTGCGGTCAACGGCAGCAAACGTCGCGGCCACATCGACCTTGCGAGCCATGAGTCGGAGGGTCTCCTCGCGGCCGTCATCTTCAACTTCCTCGGTGATAGAGGACTTGTGGCAGAGTAGAAGGAGCTGATCGAGGTGAGATGCAGACACCATGAAGGGAATGTGAACGAAGAGGGCAGAGAAGAAAGAGAGAACAGCATCATGCAATCTAGAGTTCTCTTTGCCACTCTCCAAACTGATCTCGAGCAACTCGAGCGAGCGACGAAGTGCATCTGGAAGTGCAGGGATCATAGCTTCGCCAAGCACCTCGGCCATCGAAGCGAGACACAAGACACCCATGATACGAATGCGCTCATCATCTTGTCCAATACAAGCCGCGCCGGCAACCACCTGGGCAGCACTGGCCACCTTGAAAGGATCCTTCTTGCCGTACTTCTCAGCGATACGGTCGATACAGGCCACTGCAGCATGCTTGAGCAGAATATCTGGCGATGATTCCACAATGCTGACCAATGTAGGCAAGAAGTCCAACATGCGTGTTTGTGAGACACCATCGTTTTCAGGGTTCTGGCGCAAACGACCCTCCAGGAGTCGAAGAACCTTGCGGCGAAGTTCGTCGTCAGGTCGCTCGAGAAGGACTTCGATAGTATCAAGGAAGTCGACGAGAGACAAAGTGCCAAACAAGGCGCTGAGGACATCGCCGCTCGCCTGGCTAACAGGCTTGACGTTCTGCATAGATTCGCCAATGAACAGAACCTTCTCCAAGATATGAGAGAAGTGGGTGCGGATCTGGACTGTCTGGTCGTCCGAATCTGTTGCGAAAGCCTTGGCCATTTTCACCTTCAGCGAAGAGTGCTTGAACAGATGAGCCAGTGACCTGAGCAGATCGACGGCGACCTTCTGGGGTTCACGACCATCATCACTTCCAATTCCAAGCAAGACTTGAGAAATGCCAGGCTTGGGCTTAAGCGAGTCAATGACCAAGTCCAAGAACTTGCTGTATGTCTGTAGGACAGTTAGTCACAAATAGGGCCATCAAAAAAGACACGAAGCCACATACCTCGAGTTCGATGGGTGCGCTGGCATCAGAGACGAGACCAGTCATCAGAACGAGAACATCCTTGTCCATGGCGTAGCGATTGGCCAGCATAGCCAAAACAGCAAACAAGAAGTCCAGGACTCCGAGCTTGGTGACCAGAGCATGGAACAAACGCAGACGACGGTGAGCAGGAATGTGTTCAAAAGCGGCGGTAAAACTCAGCAACAACTCAGAAGTTCCAGAGACCACGTCACGCTTCTGGTTACGAAGAGACTGGATGAGAGCCGGAACGACCTGGTCGATGGTCTGGTCGATGACAGACACGGAGTATTCATCATCCTTGCGGAGAACGCTAGAGCCCATGAAGGTGAAGATGGGCATGACGCTGTGCAGCACCAACTCAGGGGCGATAATCGACAGGCCAGCAACGAGCAAAAGAGCCGCGTTCTGAACTTGCGGGCTATCTGTTGTACGGACACAATCGACAACAAGATCCGCTCGAATGACTGCGGTGTCAAATTGAGGCTTGGCAGTTTGCTTCGACTTGTTGACGATAGCCAAGAGGCTACCGAGAGTCAAGCTGAGCAGGTAGCTCATTCCTGACTGAATCTGCGACTTGAAATGATGAAGAGCTGCCAGCGTCTGGAAGAGGCCATCAGCCAATTCAGGGTGAGACTCGGGGTTTGAGCTGTCCACCAGCTCCAGGATGAATGTCGTCTTCTCCATCAGCTTGCTGAGTTTAGCTTCATCTTTAACAGTCATGGCAACCATATTGGTCTGGCTGGTGCGTCTCCTCTTCGGTGCCGGCCCAGCAGACTCCATATCAGTAATGGAGACAGGGATCTTCTGCAGGAAGAATTGAAGCACAGAGCCCGTCAATTGCACACTGCGCAGAACATCCCTGCATCCATTGACAAGGGGAGAATCCGACTCCTCGAGCGAAATTCCGAACAGCTTCTCCGAGGCCTCAATCTGTCTGTCTTCAGGCACCAAGGCCCAAACATCCTTCATCCGGCTAAAGATGAAAGCGACGAAAGATGATCTGAGAGAGTTGGAGTAAGGGCTCACGTTCGAAAGAAGCACAAGAATGGCATCCTTCTCCTTTGGGGTAACCGTCAAAACAACCTGCTCATCCATTTCGCCCACAGAGACGCGCTCCTTGTCACAAACCTCCTTAACTTTCAGATCGTCGAGCTCTCGCCAAGATTTCAGAAGAGGCTCCAATTCCTTGGTACGGGTTGTACCGCCTGCCTTGTCGATTCTGTTGAGAAGCTTCAGAAGTCCCAGCTTGGGGGCAAGAAGGGGCATGTGAACAGCATGAGAGCACAAGAAAGTGAACACGCTGAGGCGAAGTGACTTTTTAATCTCGGTTGCTGCGGAATCAGCAGTCGACACACCTCGCAACGTCGCCTCGAGAACACGACCAATATGGTCTTGGTCGAGAACGTATTCCTCTAAACCGGGAAGCAAGACGCGCTCCACAAGCTTCTGTACATCACGCCCGGCCATCCACTTGACGTTCTTGGTTTGCTGGCCATACAGCGAGTCATTGGCCCAAGGTTTGGTATCAGACTTCTTGTTCTGCTTATAAATGTTGCCAAGCGCTGCCAGGACGCCTGTTGCTTCCCGTCGAATGCGCTCGGTTGGGTCGGCGAACGATACCAGCAGGAAGGGCAGCAGAGCCTGAAGATCGCCATCAGATGCGGAAGAAGATAGGGCCGACGCGATCAGGTTCAGCGCAGCAACTCTAGTGCCAGTAGGGTAAGATCCAGTTGATACTCTGACCAGGAATGACAGATACTGTGTTGATTTAAAGGCATCAGCCCTCTTTAGCGATGGCAGGTTGACAAAAGACTCAAGCTTCTCCTCAGAGCCAACCCCAAGAGCAAACACTTGCACGAGACTCTCAAAGACAGGTAGATTTTGGGCGCTGAGGGCTGAGACATCCAGGCTCTTTCCAGCGAGAGACTCCAGGGCAGGTGGGAACTGGTCCTCCGCTTCTTCAACTTCAGCATCCCCCATTTCCACGTCTTCCAAAGCCTTGGGTGCAGGTGCAGACTCTATAACGATCTGCAGATTGTGTTCCAGGGCAGCGATGTCCAACTGAGATTCTTCAATGGCCTTCTGGAAAACAGGGCGCAAGGATTCGGATTGAGTGAAGTGCTGTACAAGCTCAGCAAGCTGAGTCTGGGCGTCAAGAGCCAAAGCACCCTGCCGATGAGCATTGCTAGTGGCGTGAAGAACCGTAGACATTGCCTTGGCCGTGTCCGATTCTTCGAGAAGACGGGCATTGAAGATCTGAGAAAGAAACTCCAAGCGTGCCAAGTCCTTTTGTCTCGAAAGATCGTTCACGCAGCCAGCTACTAGACCAAGCACCAGGTGGGAAGTCTTGTATTGAGTAGAGAGCTCAGTCAGCCGCTGCACAGGATCTTCCAGGCGGAGCACTGCCTTGAAAGCCCTCTTGGGAATTGTCATGTCTGGTTTCGCTTGCGCAAGAACAGACAGACAGACGAGACCTGATTCTCTAGTTTCTTCTGTCCACGAGCCAGCAACAGCCTCCATTAAAGAATCAAGGAATT